GTCAATGTTATAGTTCTCTCAGCGCCTATAATAGGGCACCATTGCAATTATACAATATTTTGGAGAATAAATATTTTCCAATTATTACATATGTGCAAAGGGGCAGTTATACACTTTTACCCCGCTATAACACTGTCCTCGGTAGCCAAAAAATCGTACTGCGTTATAGGTGAAACCACGTTATATCAAACTTGCTTTGATCCGCCGGAGGGCGCAGTCCCTCCCCGGAGCGCTGCTTTACCATGTTATATCCAAATTCGTATTATATCTTGGGTAGAGGTGTAACTGCTGTAGGAGCCATAGTTTGAACTTCCAGCCTATTGTGTCTAAATTCTTGAGTATAATATGGCATTAGGTCACTTGCACTAAACATATACATTTACGTATACGTGTTTGCTTTTTCTTTATTTCTTTTGCACAAGTTTTTATTTACTTTCCTCCCAGACATCTGAACAAAGGTCTATAAGGCAGGCCTCTCTGAAACTTAGATTCCAGACACTGGTATCTCAGGTTTACCCTATGGTATAGTTAAGGCAATGTGTTATACAAACACTAATTATCACTATTTATCTTTAGTATCTGAAGTTGCCAGACATGTTAAAAAATGCCAGTACCGAGTTTCATCTGCAGTAACATAACCTAAGCAGAGGGGGAAGAAATGCTCTTGTCACAATGCAAACTTCCTAGATGTATCTAATGTGATAGAGAGAGAAAACAATGAGAGACTGCATTCTGTCACAAACGTTCACTCATGTTAGGGGCCCTGCTGCCAATAAACTAATCTCAAGATGCTAAGGCCTAGATGAGGCCCAATTATATTTCAGTCCAGTGTGAGGCTGGCCTGTATTTGTTCTGAAATGTTTTATTCATGCACAAAATTGGATTTCAGCACTATTATTCTACAGAAGCTTTTCAAAGCACACAGACATTTACTCTCTACTCTGACTTCTGAAACACAGCAAGAGCTTTAATGCTGAAGCAAGTTATATGAATAACACTATTCAGATCTGTAAAAACAAGAACAAGGAGACAGCAGGATCTAGAGGATTGGATCTCAGTCCTATGCCCAGGAACTCCTGAGCTCAGTCAGTGGTTTACTGTGTGATTTTTTAACCAAGTCTCTGTCTGTTTCCCCATTTATAAAATAGGGTAACAGCAGCTACTTACCTACCTAAATATTGTGAGGGTTAACGGTTGTATAGCAGTTTGAAGATGTAAAGCACTATCAGTTCTTCAGAGCATTCTATATTGACAACCTGATCACTGGACCAAGGAGGTTACATGGGATAGTTCTGTGTTTTTTAATTAAACAAGCACCTAGAACTAAGGATTGATATTTTCAAATTACATCAAAATGAGTGTTGCTTGAATGAAGTCTAGCTGAAATCAATCCAGCTAATTCTTACAGTGTGGGGGGAAGCACCCAGAAAAACAATGGAGACTTTATCAGCTCCCCTCAGAAAATTTGCCTACCATTTACTCAGGGAGTAGATCATAACTGTCAGTTGTGAAGAGAGAATTGTATGGAGTAGAAGACGACTCTGGGCCTTGCTGGATTTTCTACATAGTTTCCATGGCCAGAAGGGATCACGTTTTGAGCATATCTTTTAGAAAAACTTCAAATCTTGTGAACCTGCCTCTCTTTAAGAGGAAGAACTGCAGGATAAATGGTGAGTACAAGGTTCAAAAGCGACCAGAGTTTGGTGGAAAGTACCTGCCACTTGCAGCAGGTTCAGCAGTTAACTACTTTCACTTTGCCATTGGTGAGACAGAACCTAACTGTGGTATCAGGACATCCATTTAACTCCGCCAAGGCTGTTTGGGCTGAGGTCTTAGCTGGTATGACACCCTGAGTCAAGTTTGAAATATTTAAACATGTTTACAGACTGGCTGTTCATGTGTGTAGGGATTATTGGCAGAACCATTCTATAAATGGAAAAAAAAAGTTACTAGCACTTGAATCCATTAAAGGGGTTTATTAAAACACTTTTCAACCAAATAACTACTGGTTTAAAATTGTTACTAAAAGGATTACTAATCTTTCAAAATCAAAACAGACTTCCACTAAAATAAAATAATAATAGGTTGAGCTAATTACATCTACAACTGCATCATAGCTATCTAGTTTTCCCTACCCAAATTTTTTATTCACTATGGGTGAAATTGGATAAATCTACCTAATAAAGTGGATGGGCCTCAGACAAATAGACAATGCAAAATCCACTCCCTCCACTCAGGCTGCAGAGTATCCCCCTTGACATGCCACTCCAGGCTATGAAATGGAAGAGTAGCCTGGCTTCCTCTGCATAAGTTGCACTATGTGGGCCTGGTCCTGCCAGGTGAGGGGCATCTTAGTTCCCATTGACTTGGAGTTCTGGATGTTAAGCATCTTGCAGGAGATGAATCTGTATAACTGTGAATCCTATGGTACTGCTGTTGCCCTCCAGGCTCAATGCTGAGACCTTATCTGCAGCATACAGAGAGCAAGATGGTTCCACTTACTTTCTCTGCCCCTACCCCTTTCCCATACAACTGCTCCACTGACAGCGGTGATGCTTTAGGGTTGAGGAGGATTTTGTGCAGGCCACATATGGGCGAATTTTACCCTCTAAAATACATTATTTTACACCTCAGCCCTGTTCATAAATTGGATGCTACAGAACTTAATAGGTAAGAGGTTAAACAAGCAGAAACAAACTCAAGATAATATTATGGGGACTAGACTATAAGTTTGCATCAGAAGCTATTACAAGGAAAAAGACAGGAATAAAATATAAATAAATGCTTGCTAGATAGGTGGCTAGACATTTGAGCTCCATAGCTTCTTTCCATCCTTGATTATAGAAAAACCACCCAGAGCTCATGTTTATAAAATACAGAGATCAAAAACAAAATTACTTTAATATAAAGAATTTCAAAAACATGACTTTTCTGCTAATATGAATTATGCATTTCTTCTTTGTTTGTTTAATCAAGATGCATTAATATTTTGTTTCCTGTTACTGAATATCATGATGTAGATACACAGCAGCGTATCTTGGTATTATAGTAGAGACGCCTGGCTAGATTTGTACTCTGCAGAATAGCTCAACAAAATATTAAATAAAGGAAATGCACTCTTCTCCCAACACACATGTGCTTATCAGATAAACTGAAGGGCTGTGACCCTGTTATAGTACAGGGTAAGGTAATGGATTAACACGTCAGACTTTTAATCAATTATAATATGTCTTATCCTCTTAACAATAAGTCTGCCTTAGTTGAGTAGATCATTCCTGTCAATGAACAGCTGCCCAGTATGAAACATTTATCAGTAAATATCACTTCTTGTGTAGTTGTCAACCTAAAATGCCAGTGTTATAACATAACAGCATTCTAAGAGCAGGTTTCATAAATATTATTCACAGCAATTCCTAAGTCTTCAGTAATGTTTATTTCATTATTATAATTGATTTTTCAGCAAATACAAGAGCTCAATTCATAAATTAAAAGGTTTAATAAGCATACTTCTTTGTATTGTATTTGCTTTTTTCCTCATGCAAAAGACTACATACAATCATAAAACGAAACTACCAAGAACAGACATAAGAGTGCTAAGACAATCACGTAAGTATTTCCTATAAAGAAAAAAAAACTTAAAAAATAGCCATCACAAACCTATAGCTGGCATTGAGGGAAAACAGGACTCCCAAAGAGAATTGTGCACCTACTGAGTTTATTTTAAAAAGATGTAAACTCATTCTTGATGTGTCACTTCTAAGTGCATGTAAAAATAGTTTAGTAATGATCTATTGGAACTAGAAAACAAACTGAGTTATTTCATTTCACATCTTAGGCTGCTTTTGAAGAAAATGTTAGATTTTTTCAATGTCCTAATCCAGTGGTTCCTAAACTTGTTCCGCCGCTTGTGCAGGGAAAGCCCCTGGCGGGCCGGGCCAGTTTGTTTACCTGCCGCATCCGCAGGTTCGGCCGATCGCGGCTCCCAGTAGCCACGGTTCGCTGCTCCAGGCCAATGGGAGCTGCGGGAAGCGGCGCGGGCCGAGGGACATACTGGCTGCCGCTTCCCGCAGCTCCCATTGGCCTGGAGCAGCGAACCGCGGCCACTGAGAGTCGCAATCGGCCAAACCTGCGGATGTGGCTGGTAAACAAACCAGTCCGGCCAGCCAGGGGCTTTCCCTGCGCAAGCGGCGGAACAAGTTTGAGAACCACTGTCCTAATCTATAACAAAGGTTGAAATGGAACTGAATTTTTAGGCCCATGAATTTTGTCCCTCAGTGTGCCATAAAGAGCTGTCAAACAAAAGAATATTGCAGGAATGGAGTAGTGCTTTTTAAAAACAAAAGAAACAAACAAAACAGGATACAAATTTAAGCCATGCATTCAGCAGGGAGACATACATCTTGTATAAGAGTCTTATTTCACATCTTTTACAATTCTTCCTCTGCTTTTCTTTTTTGGTCAACATTATTTAAAACACAGACAGCAATGTCTTCCTTGAACTTTCATGAACTCCAGCAGCATAAGCTAGCTCAGTAGTAATAATAGTTCAAAAACAAATCCCACCCAGATTGCATGCTTTTCTTCCATTATGGATGACCATAATAAGCGACAAAATATGCATCAGAATTTCAAGAACACCCTGGCATGTATGCATAGAGTCATTGCCATGTGCTTCAGAGACAAAGCAAACTTCCATTTCCCTGAACTATTGATTTTTTTTTTTTCTTCTAGATACAATATAATGGGATAATGTCAGGGACAGGGTGGGGGGAAACAATGTTCTAATGTTCACCTAGCAAAAAAGAATTAGAGGGAGAAACGAAATCATATTGTCTGTGGGCTCACTAGAGATTGTTTATAGAATTTTATTACTCACAACAAAGGTCACATCTTCATTAATTTGCACTACAAAATGACATCAACAGGCTCTCTAAAACCAATATCCATTACCTAAAGTTACATAGAAAATACGAGAAAATTGAGCAAAACAAAACCCCAAATCTGGCATTCAACTTAAATGGTTTTATTGGTACTTAACAGCAAAATGCCATATTAATAGCGGCCGTAATGAGGCCTTGGATTGTAGGAGTTGTAGCCATAGTCATACTGGGGGTAGTAAGACTGTCCTTGTCTGTGCTGTTGGTAGCTGTTACCCCAGCTTCTTCCTGGCCACTGATTAGATCTATTACCACCTTGCCAGTCATGCCTGTCCCCTCTGCCTCTGAACTGCCTGCCATCTTGAAACCTGTAATAAAAAGAAATTTGCATAAACACCAGCTTTGAGATTTTAAGGAGGGAAGGTTTTGAACTCTTTCACAAAAACTATTTTAGTGTATTCCTAAAACCTGGCTCCAGTTATTTAAACGCACAAACAACTGCTAATCCTTTTTAGGGCAAAATACATGTCAAACATGTGATTATTCAAAGCTATCCTAGGACCCAAGATAGGAAGATAGGTCAACTACTTACTACTATGCAACAAACTACTGGCTGTCTTATAGGGGGGGGAAATTTCAGCCTTTGTACAAACCATTCAAAATGAAATAAAAGGAATGGATTACTAAAATTTAGCTTAAAAAAATTCACATAATTCGTAAAACAGATTTTTAAAGAATAACTTCCTCAACAATCATCATTTTTGGTAAACTGTAATTTACAACTTAAGTGTGAAGTTACTGACAAGTTAGTAGAATGATGAAAACATTGGAATGGTTTATTTTTAGAAGAATAAAGCCCCAATCCAGCAAGCACTTAAGCACCTTCTTAACTTTATGCATATGAGAAATTCTATTAGTGTGTCTAAGTGTTTGCAGGCCTGGAGCCTAAGTAACTTAATATGAAATCCAGTCCCAGCAGTACTAAAAAGAAAAAAATTGCCTGGGTATCAAATGCAGGAATTGTCCTTTTTTCAGTCCCAAAAATCAAGTATCAATATCCAAGCTTAAGGGATCAACACTCCCAGCCTGGAGAAAAACAGTATAATTCAAAACATTTTTGGCAGGCATATAATATGATCTTCCAGTGCACTTGTGAGAGGGAGATATATTCTATGCTCCTTACAAATAGACAAAAGAAGTGCAATCTAGCCTAGTCACAATATGTCAAATGTTATCTGGGTTGCAAATTATATTTTTTGCTAGTTGTACAAAAAAAAAAAGAAAAAAAAAAGTCATGTCACTGGTGTGCTACTTGGCAGAGTCAGTTTTCTGTTGACAATTATGCTTCCAAAGACAAGCTGTTTGAGGTTTAGCAGACAAACCTCTGATCTTTCCCCTTTAAAAAAAAAAAATATATATATCAGTTCATGGCCAAGCAGCAATGAGCCCCAAGGTCAATGATTTAAGTGGTTCCAGCTCATTCTTTACAGAATAGCAGTTTGCTTCATACTCTTATATAGAATGAAAAAAAAAAAAAAAAAAAAACTACTGTCAGTATTAGTTTAGCGAAATCCTATCTTTTACCCTGGAGAGATATGAGTTTCTTTCAAATCAAGAAACCCTGCCAAATAATGGGGAGCATACAGCAAACCTGCTTCTCTTTATTCTAAAGCAGACAAACATCTTAGGCTTGGTCTACACTTACCCCCCAAGTCGAAGTAAGGTACGCAAATTCAGCTACGTGAATAACGTAGCTGAATTCGACATACCTTACTTCGAACTTACCGCGGTTCAGATGCGGTCCACACGCAGCAGGCAGGCTCCCCGTCGACTCCGCGGTACTCCTCTCGTTGAGCTGGAGTACCGCAGTCGACGGGGATCACTTCCTGGTTCGATTTATCGCGTCCAGACCAGACGCGATAAATCGAACTCGGAACTTCGATCCCCAGCCGCCGAACTAGCGCGGCAGTGTAGACCAGCCCTTAGAGTGCTAGCTATGACATCAATATGTGTTTGTGAAACTAACAAAGATTTAAAAATCAGTACCGGTCTCTATTTCTTTGGTTACCACCAGATCTGTTTTTCCATTCTTCTACTAGAGGAGGTGGATCTGTTGGGCGTTTTAAATACTCTTGATATTCCTCATCATCTGATGTAAATCGATGAGAAAACATCTCTTCATAATTCAGAGGAACTTCGGTTGAGGAAGTCATTCTGAAATACTATTAGACATAAAATACAATTGCAGCAGCTTAAAAAAAGACATGAAAAGGACAGCTACCAAATCCACGTAGTGAAAATTGAGGTAATGAAGTGTGTTACATTTTAAAATGTTACGTATTGGACTGACTATCCTGATACTGTCTTAACTATTCTGTAAATGAAGATTCAGGTAAGTACAAACTAATTTCCTTTCACTGCCTTAACTTTGTACTGGACCACTTCTAAGACAGAAAAAGTAGTCCAGTCTCCATGTGTTTACAATCTTTGACACCTACAGTGGGATTGCCATCAGACATTCAAAATGTAATGGGAGGTTTTTGAGAGACACCTATCTACTAGAAACTGAACTGAAACCATCAACTTATTACACCTCAGCCACCTAACGGAGACAGCTATTATACAGCAATTATGTTTAGGTCACTTCCGACCTGGGTTGTATTACAATCAGTCAAATAAAGGCCTCACATTTCTGTCTGAGCGCCACTTGGGAACAATTGGTGGACTCCAGGCATCACGTCTATGACCTGCCCACAGCAAGGGAGATTTTTTTGGGGGGGTGAGGGGAGGTGGGGCGTGGGAGAGGACAGGAGTCAAGCTAAGACACAGACAGCAATGCATGGGGCACGTAAACTAACAGCAGAGCTTGGGGCACTGCTAGAGACCCCCCCCCTTCAGCCTTCCCTCCCATCACACACAGCCCCTCCAGTCCCCATAGACACTGCTCCTCCAATCCCACACACAGCCCCTCCAGTCCCCATAGACACAGCCCCACAGCCTCCCGGCCCCTCCAGTCCCCATAGACACGGGGGGGGGGGCAAGTGGGGCAATTTGCCCTGGGCCCCACAGGGGTCCCCACGAGAATACAGTATTCTATAGTATTGCAACTTTTTTTTATGGAAGGCCCCCCCCAAAATTGCTTTGCCCCAGGCCCCCTGAATCCTCTGGGCAGCCCTGCATAGACACAGCCCCCTGCCCCCTCCAATCCCCATAGACACAGCCCCACAAACAGCCCCCTGCCCCCTCCAGTCCCACACAGCCCCCCCCAACCCCGCAGACACAGCCCCCGCCCCCTCCAGCCCCACACAGCCCCCCAATCCCCGCAGACACAGCCCCGCCCCCTCCAGTCCCCATAGACAGTCCCTCCAGCCCCACACAGCCCCCCCCCAACCCCCGCAGACACAGCCCCCGCCCCCTCCAGGCCCACAGCTTCCCGCCCTTCCAAAGCCCCCATAGACACAGCGTCACCCCGCCCCCCCGCAACACCTCCTCCCCTCCAGCCTTCCCGCAGAGCTCCCCGCCCTTCCCCAGCCCCCCGCCGCCCCCCCCCCCCGCCCCCCCCCCCTCCCCCCGAGCCCGCAGCCGCCACAGTCCAAAGCCTTCCCGCAGCACGAGCCCTTCCCCTTCCGGGCCCGGGCCTCACCCCCCGCCCTGCTTCCAGCTTCCGCCGCCGCCGCGGGGGGAGGGGGCGCCGCAGAAGCGCTGCAGGGGCGGGAGGGGCTGAGACCCGTAAGGAGCGATGGGTTCTGAGGCTGGGCAGAGCAATGTTCTCCCGGGGCTGGGTCTCTGCGCTTGACGTGCCCGTAGCAAGGCCTCCTGAGCCTAGGTCATTCAAGACAGGTTAAAAGGCCTTTGGTTCGGGACACAGCCCAAGCCCCGTGTGTAGTTCCTAACATCCTTAGTCTGCAAACACCTGTGCAGGTGAGTGGGCGAGGTGACGCAGTGGGACTGCTGAGGTGCATGGAGTTACTGACGGGCATATGTGTTTGCAGTTGCTAAAGACTTTCTTTGCAATTCGAGGTCTTGATTATTATTCAGCCAGGGCACCTAGACTAGTCAGCATCTGCCTCTGCTGTGCTTTACCTCCCGGGATAAATCCTTCTTTTAAGACAAAGAACTAGTTAGTTGTTTCCTCTTCCTCTAGATCTCTGTGATGTGAAATTTCTCAGGCCAGTTCAACCAAGTGTGTTTCCGGCATGTGAAGGCTAGAACTGATGTGAGCAACTTTCCATACTCTTTAGGAAAGGTAGTTTTCACTGTCAGAGCTCATTGAGTACTGCACATGCAACCTCCTCTGTATTTTAATGTATGGCTCCTATTTAATATAGGATGTGGTATGCTTCTTACATCAGTGTAGTGTTAGTGTGTGTGCTTCTCTTCTGTAAAATAGTAACAATGTTCTAAACAAAAAAGCAATGCATAAGGTACCAGTATTTTCCAACTCTGCTTTGTAGTTCTCTATGCTGAGAATTTTGGAGGCTAACCCTTCTTAGTATCTCAAATTACATCAAAGGACATTCATTACTATTCAGAGAATACATATTTGAGGCTAAGGTGGGATGAAGTGATTTATCATGTAAAGCGTAGAGAAAAACGCTGCAATATTCGTTGCCTTGGCAAGTTTTGAAATCACACTAAGTGAAGGGGAAAAAATAACTGGAGCCAAATCCTGCAAATGGTTATGCCCTTGATCACAGGTACCCACACGTGGAGTCCTATTGAAGTTAATGGGACTCTGCCTGGGAGTAACTACTCAGAGGAGTAACTTTGCAGGATTGGAGGTTATCTCCTAATTCTGTAAAGATTTATGTATGCGTTGTACTTTATACATTATGGGCTTGACCTGAAGCCCTGTGAAGTACAAGTAGGAATCAGAAATATGTGGCTTTTTCAGGGACTATTAGAGTGTATTTTATTTAAAGGGTAATATAAAATACTTGAGCTTTAACAGAAAAACAATATTCAAATTGATAAAATTCACACAGCACACTTTATGCTTACTTATACCAATTCTATCTAACTGCATATCTTTAAAAAGTTGATCATTTTGCTCAATCCTACAGAGTTCAAAGGCAACTTGATTGCTTTATGTATAAAAGTTTTTGAAATTGTATGAAGTGTGATTCCTGTTTTATGGCTAATTTTGTGTTAGCACAGAAGGGTCTATTCTTTGTGTTGTGTATACGGCCCTGCTTTAGCAAGCTACTTACACAACAACCTAAAGTTAAGCATTATGAGTATTGCATTGACTTCAATGTACTTAAAGTTAGGCACCTGCTTAAGTACCTTCTTGAATTGGGTCCTAAGTGCATAAATATTTCAGGCAGAAAGTTAAGCCTTGTCTTATTTACTAGCTGCAGTTCAAGTAAAGTTATCAGTACTAATTTATGAACTGCCATAAATTGACACTGTGGCAGTGACCAACTGCTGTACAGTCCAATGATCATAGCTTCCTGTTCCTAAGGGTTTGCAATGTAGGGCTCTGATTTTGCTCCCATCTTTTAAGCATGTGATTTATTTGAGACTGTAAGAGACAAGAAATTGTGCCCGTTTCACTGTTCTCCACGCCATTCTGACAGTTACAATACAGTAACTCTTAGAGCATTTTCAGTGCTTACTATTAGTCATCATTCTTGAGCCCAGATTCTTTCCCCCCCACACACTCTTTCATGCTCCATATGAGAAAGGGTTGGGGTTTTTTCTAGGACCCTGTTAGAAAAAAAGCAAGTTTTTTTTTTAAGTTTTATAAGTTCATAGACCCAAGAGCCTTATTATACTTGACCCTTTTCATTATTGCTCACAGACAGTAGTAAAGCACAAAAATTCACAATAACATAGCACTTTAAAAAGTCTTCAGCAACAATGATATTGCCACCTACCCTCCAGAAAGATCAGACTGTAGTAAAACTGTTCATGGTTTGATGTAAACAGAAACATCACATGTTGCTTTCCTGCATGAACCAAAGAAGGATTGCTCTCTCAGTCACAGAATAAAATGGATGACCAGGATCTTAGCCTGGGGTCTCTGGTTCTAAGCAAGGTGAATTTTCGTTTGAATCTGAAAGATTATATTCTTACTCTAGTGCAGGGGTCTCAAGCTCAATTTACCTTAGGGCCCTTGCCAGTCCTCAAATCCGCCCAGTGGGCCAGTAATGTCACTCATGCCCCCCAGAACCCGTCCCCCCAACTCAGCCCCCCCAAAACTCCACCCCCCACCTGCCTAAGGCTCTGGGAGGGAGTTTGGGTGGGGGAGGAGGTCTGGGGTAGGGGATTGCAGTGCAGGCTCTGGGATGGAGTTGGGGGGCTGCGGGGGGTGTGGGGAGGGGGTGCAGGCTCTGGGAGGGAGTTTGGGGGCTGCGGGGGTGTGGGGAGGGGCTGCAGGCTCTGGGAGGGAGTTTGGGAGTGAGGGAGTGTGTGGGAAGGGGGAAGGGCACAGTTGGGAAACCATTGAAAAACTTGCCAGAAACAGACAGGAGTGGAGGAGCTTCATCACTGCCCTAAACACCAGAGATGTAATGGGTACTAACTAACCTTGATTAACCCATCTTCACACAGGAGAAAACATACAGGTGATGGGATAGATCAGGATAGCACCAATATTTTAACACTTTATGTTGTATGTAGTTGGGCATTTGTAGTTGAATCTGCACTTCACGTGGTCTTGTTCTTCAGGCTGCAAGAATCCATGAGAACGGACATAGCAGATGTGATCAAGGTGGCAGCAGGCACCTTAGAAATACCTTAGATAAATACACTATACTGATGCTCAACCTGTACATAGACAAGGTTTAAGGGCCATATTTTAAAGGTATCTAGGTGCCTACACGTGTTGATTGGCACCTAGTAGCATTTTTAAAATCAATGGAAGTTAGATACCTAGGCACTTTTGCAAATCTAACTAGGCATCTGTCTGCATTTTGAGGTATCTAAATACCTTTAAGATCTGACCCTAAGTGTTTTCAGAATCAGGCCCTTGGCAATTCTCTTTCCATTCCTGCTATCTCCTTCTTCCTTGTAGTTGTCTCTAAATAACCTATGTGTTCTCTTTCTACAATCAACCTCACCTAATCAGCAATACTGCAGTTTACTACCATGTGACAAAGCCCCCATCATTCCTGACTATTCTTTGAATTAATTTTAGCACATCAAACATCTCTTCTAAACTTTAACTAAGAACCGTTCCCTTCAGTCCATCTGTGCTTAATGGAACTCTTTCAGGAAAGTGTTAAATGCTCTTTGACTAAACAGAGGAACATACACTGTAAAAAAAAATTAATAGTTCAGTTTATCCGGAAAATAATGGGGAAGGAAAATATTTCATAGAATGCCTAGTGTTGTTAACTCTTGCTATTTTATCATGAGTCTCATAATAGCTGGTGATTCTCTTAAAGGCCCAGCTTCTGGAATCATGTGATTTCATGAGAATTTCAGTTTTCATTTAAAAGAAAAACTAAGTTTCTGACTCTCATGCTCGTGGAGAAAATCTTCAAAATGTGACCTAAGTGTGCCCTGATGGCTCAAAAACTAAGAAGCAAATAAAAAGAACCTGAAATTTCATTGAAAATGTTATTTGTTTAAAATCTGATAATTTTTATGCCAATCTCATAAGTTTTGGGGGCCTGACTCATGATTTTAGAACAATTGGGATGGTTAGCACAGGCATTTTAATGAAACATTGACATGGTACCAAGAAAAAGGAAATTGCAATTTTTATACATTTCTTTAACTTCTAACAGGAGGAGTCCTTTTAATCAAGACTAATATGTACTTTGAGAAATCAACTAAAGAATTAACACCACTTGCAACTGTGTCCGCTCTGACCAAAGGAGAATGTGCTTATATATGGGCAAAGTCTATGCAAGCAGAGATTCCTCCAAGGAGAGCATCATAGATCATGTTGGTATGAGAAGGAGAAAGAAGAAAATGCTGCTTCTGTCAAATATTACTTTATCGTTAATTTATTTATTATGAAAACTAAGATTTCCTCTTGGTTTCCAAATCTTTTCACAGATTTCATGTTAGTTGTTTGAATGCTTTCATTTTCTTTTTCTCTGTTGTAGTCTATTTGATATTAAAAGCTTTCTCTTTTTTGTAAAATCAATAATGGACTGCTCAAATTATTTTACTATGGGAAAGGGAAGTGTCTGACATGTTAAAGAGAGCATGACCTTGTGCTCTGGCCAGAGGCAGGTAAAAGCGGTGGGAGTGAAAACTTCTTGCTGATTATGAGCTGAGAGAGGCTGGAGTTTCTGCACATGAGATACCATAAGAAGACCAGAGGGCAACTCAATGAGTAAATGACAATAAATTATAGTTAGCATCATACAGTCACAATGAAAGATAGCAGTAGTAAGGCTATTTTGTAGCCCAATACCACAGAAATACTCAGAATTGTATTCTTTCTTTAGAGCCTTCTGCACTTACAAAATCCGTTCTCATTGTTGGATGTTATTCTCTTGGCTAGAGAGGGTCTTTGCCTGGCTGATTCTCATTTAAGTAACAAGAAAAGCTGAGATATGGCAGATGTTACTGACAGATTTGTTAAAGTCTGTGTAGTAATTCTATCAGATCGCTACATTGTCTTCGTGTGTTTAAAAATGTTCTTTCCACACCTCCACGTGAGATTGTAATGTGGAGC